GATAGAAGGGAAAGGAAAAGGAGAGGAGGGAGGTTCGAGAGAGGCGCACAGGACCAACTGACAAATGAAAGCCTTGATCTATAGTTAGCTCCAATTCACACTCTCTCTCTCTCTCATATATTATTTATATATATAATATATATATATATATATATATATATATATATATATCGTGCCGAATAGGTAAAACTTGAGATTTCTGGCTTAAATAGCAACGCTCTTCTTGTTCAATAAGGCAAGCGAAAATTTGTGTATGCAATAATTTCGCAAAAATCATTCTGAACCTAACGAAAATATATATTTCATTGTGTTTGTTTATTATTAAATTACTGTAAATTTATCTAAAATATATTTAGTTGGATTAGGCTAAATTAAACTGCGCTTGTTATAGTAAGGTTAGGTAAGTTTGCTAATTTTTTTTTGGTACAAAATGATTAACTTTTACATTAACATAAATGAAAAAAATATACATCTTCAAACGTATAAGATATTTTTTTTTAAAAGGCTTAATTTAAACGAGTCTTGCTAAATGACCAGTTTTACCTATTCGGCACGATATATATATATATATATATATATATATATATATAATATTATATATATATATATATATATATACATAAATAATTGTAGATGACCATTCTCACCCTTCCATTCCTCTTGTATCCACTATGATCTATCTCCTTGCTGTATCCACCGATGCCTCCCACCCTAATTCCCATCATTAACTTTCTCCCTTTCTCTCTCTCTCTCTCCACTTTCTAACCAACTTTATCGCCCCACTCCTCCTTTCCTCTCCCTACTTCCCCACCTCAAAAATTATAAGTCCATTTATCAGAGTAAAACATTAGCTCGTGACCCAAGTCCCGCTGGCTGATCTTTTTTTTCAGTCGCTCCGCGGAGCATCACTGGACCACCATGGTTAAACGACTGACACCGGACCACCATGGTTAACGACTAACAGTGGACCACCAATACCATAGTTAACTAGCACAGGACCAGCACTATAATTAACGATGACTGACGCATTTGATTACTTTTACTGTTAAGAGCGGGGGGTGCCACAGTTACTA